GTCTAATTAAATAATTAATATCTACATAAACATAAACATATTATTCTATTATAACAATTTTTGATAACCTAAGGTCAAAGTTTTCATCTATGTTCACTTGATAGCAAAAATTATGTTCACAAAGTTAGACATTTAAAACTTATATTTCAAGAAAGGTTCAAGTTTGTAAAACTTATGAATGAAACCAATTGTGAACCTCGGAGAGTAAATTAAGCCCGTAGTTCAATTATCCAATTTAATTCTATTGACGTCCCTGCAGGCTCCGTGCACTGCGCACCAACAAAGGTTATATGCCTGCTTGTCATTGCGCCTCGTTTCGTACGGTTTCAGATTCGTAAGGTTCATAATCACGCGGCAGACGCGCACAGCATAAGTGTTTTGAACTTTGACTCCGGTGTGTGTGTACCGAAGGAAAAGAATGTAATGCCGAAAGAATGGAACGAATACAATGCGGATTGTATTGGGAGTTGCGGATGGTGTGTGTGGTTTGCTTGGACGTCTTCCTGTGTCGCGGCTGCAGCGGGCGACGTAATTATTTAATGCAATGATGAGATAATGACGCGCTCGATATGCTCGAGAGTTGAAGGGCCATTATAGGATGATGCGCACTACGAGCAAATTGGCATCATCTTTGATGTAATTGCATTAAGCGTTTGTCGTCGTTTAATCATTCCAGTGGGGGTGATTATCTATCACCTGCTTCTAAGATTAGTGTTTATTTTAGTTATTTTCTTCTTCTAGTAAAAGAAAGCGAAATTTATTCAGCTTTAATTTTTTTCGAAAATTGTTTCAAGATTTTTTATTTTTTTTTAAATTTTCTTGAAATAAATACCAATTTAATGCAAATAGTTTAAGTGTTATCACTTAAAACTACTTACTGATTGTCGTATTTGGTACAGTAAAACTGTTACAAAATTCTATTCTCATGTGAATTTAAGTCTCACATTTTTTTCTTCTCAATAGTTAAGCATCGTATTACTAAAACTATTTCTGTACCTTTCTGTTTGTTTTGTCTTTGTTTGCGCGTGTGCCGCGATGTGCATTAAGCGTACTAGGCGCTGTAACTAAATTACGGTAATAGCTGTTTGCACGAGGTTGGCACCCCTCCGATGCATGCGCGTGTGGCTTGTTGCTTCCCCGCGCGCTGGACGCGGCGCAGCTGCCGCACACGTGTGCCGCGGGGAAGTCCCGACGACTTCCTCTGCTTCCGATGCACGGCTGCAGCGCGCAGAAAGGTGGACGCAATAAATGCACTCGCTCTCTCGAATGAAGACACCGCGAAAGTTCCGAAGCGTCGGCGTACTCGGCGTTCATTCATATTCATTCGGGATTTTATTAGGGTGGCGAGAGATGGAGGGTTGACACGGCATGTGGAAACTCGAAACTTCAAATTGCAACGCATTGAATGAGTTCCGAATTTCCGTTCAACAATGCAGTGTGCAGTCTGCCGATTGTGCGCGGCTATTTTGATTCGAATTCAATTTCGGCGTTTGCGAAGGGGTGTAGGGGTGTAATGAAACATGTTGCATGCAGATGGTCACCTTTGCATGATTTTGACTAAATTAAGTTTTTCAGTTGTAGTATTGGAATAGAATCATTTATTCTATTCTATTTAGTTTATGGTCCAGCTTGCATGCTGGTGATGCGGTAAAACTATTCGGACGCAATGTGCTCGTCTCAAAAAACAGCTGTGGTATAATAATTTCCAATCAGTGATAATTTTTGTTTGGACCTTCTTCGGACCACGTTTAGACGTTTACCCAGGTTTGCTACAGATGTCTGTTACCTGTGCGTTCGGTCCAGCTGACTTTATTTTGGAGCAGCAACGCATCTTAAAGAAAGTTAAAGACGTTTTTCGAGGTTTTTTAAGTTTTAAAGTACAGGTTGCTTAGTAAAAATCACAAGGTACCAGCAGCTGAGGCCTATGGTCACTGAAAGCATGAGTTAAAATCAGAATATGTATAGTTTACTTTTTTATTATTCTGCCGTTTTAAGCACCTGCAAGGAATAGAATTTTACTTAGTAAGACGGGAAAACAATGAATAAAAAAACAGACCGAAATATACGCCCAGCCTGCGATATTTTATGTATGCCAAATGATGCTTTGCATTTAAAATGACGATAAAATTGACTTTTCCACTGTTCACAATTGGAGCATATTTTTAAGATATATCTCCAAGTAAATATCTTCAAATAGGTATCAATATAATATAATAGAAGTAAAAGGTGTTTTTGCAAGCTGTCCACCACAAAACCTCTCAACCCTTCACTTAAAATTCAGATCGATTCATGAATTATTGTTTAATTTTGAAAACGTCGAATTTATAAATATGCGACGCATGCAACTAGAGTAACAATGCGACAGCAGCAGTTGGTGTTATTGTGAAAGTGGTAGACGCGTGCTCGACGCACATCCGAAGTGCTACCGCGGCTATCGCGTCGAGAGGGGTTGGTTATTTTCAGAATAAAACAGCATAGCGGCATGCATGAGCCAAATGGCGATACACGGCGCGCTTACTCGCTCGTATGCAGTTATATGTGGTCTGGCCGCAGACAGAAGGGGCCCTTCCGAAGAGAAGAACATGCGGAAACACCTGGCGTTTCGCATGCACCGCTGGCGCGTGCCTCGTTCGCATGGCGCGCGCCCGCTAAACAAGAAATCGAGCAGGCGTTTATAATCCGCACACCGCACATTATATATCGGTAGCCAACACTGCACAAGATCACCAGCGGGCCATCGCATCAAGAAGCAAGTAAAACAAGTCATGTTTGTTACTTTAATGAAATTCCGAAACATTCAGATAAATTTAGCTAGCAATGTGTTTAAAGTGCAAGTATCTTCCGGGTAGCAAAATTCATCAAGTCACGTGTAACACGTTTTACATTCGTGTAATTTTCTCAGGCACATCTTGATGCCAAATGTGAGTAATATAAAATCGAACCTGATGCTTACAATGTATGATTGTCCTGTGCTGTCCATGAGGTACACAGTTGGAGACAACATGTGTCGCGCACCTTCTTGACGCTTATATAAAAAAATACAATTTTGCCTACAGCACGTTTGGTTTGCATTTGGATTTGCCCAGGCACGAGTTACACCTAAAAAAGAAAGAAGGTAGTTTTACATGCGAGCAGTGCGTCTCGGATGGCCCGTGGATTTTGTCATTGTTGCGCGCAAGTGTAACTTCACCTCCGCAATTATGACAATTCACAATAGTATTGAATGCTGCGTTTTGAATAGCGCAACAGATGTTTCTTCGATTGCACCTCGGACCTACGGAGACATTTGGTGACCATCGGTCAGCAACGCAACGTGAGACCCACATGTTTCCGCCCGTATTCTGCGAAACTCGCGATTTGCTGTAGATGTGAAGCACGTTTTTATCGCATTATCTATGGTGTGGTAATGATAGTAATAATAAAACCGAATCGTAATTGATTGAAGATGTTGCATGGTGGAATGGTTACTACTACTTGCACTGACATTGCCGTTGTATTGATATTGGCAGCTCATGAAAGAACGAACGCGAGGTTCACACGATTCACACGGTCTAGCTCTACACATCCCGGCAGCGAGGAATAAGCGTGCCACTTATTCAAGCATCACACGGTCCATTCGATACCAAGGCGCACGTCTTGCGTTTCTTCCGTGCGCGCAGTAGCAACTCCAATGGACAAAGAAACAACGATTATATCTTACGTCTCGGACGAAGATGGTCGATCATCTGATTTTAAAAGTCTCCGAAATTATCTCAAGTTTAAAGATCACACTCGCATTGTAGAAAACCACCATCCTTTTAACGAAACGTTACCTGACTTTGTGCTGTTGTACAATTCTCGTGCACCCTGAGGCCGACTCGGGGTTGTTTTTTTCGTCGGAATAACCTGACGTATTGTGTTGTGCAACTGCAGCTGATGTCCGAGGAGCCGCACAAGGGATGGACTATTAAAAACCTAAGAAGGAAGAAAGGTTTTTAAATTTTAAATGCATGCGAAGCAAGAAAATAGTACCATTCATGCGTCGACTCTTTGCCTTCCTTCACATGTGAATAGTCGAGAGAAATGGTAAAATCATATGATGCAAAACTGTTCATCGGCAGTTTTCTATAGTGCGCTTCGAGACCTTTAAAATCTTTAAAACCCGGCGACAATAGCATTCAACTTGCACATACATAACGCAACACTAGTTTACGACCTTCCTCAGCCTCACATGTGCTAAACTTTAAAAACAAGTTGCAACATTTGCAGCCATTTCATCGATTAATCATATTTATTTGATGAATTGTTCCACGTCCAACTGCAATATGTTAGGCGTTCGTAATTATATTATAAAGTCTGTCTGCGCGCACGACGAATGAAATTTGTGTTGCGCTGCTCGCGGCATGATATGATGGAAATAGTCGGGCATCATCTGCTGCGTCGTTTTCGTCGGTCTGTTGCGTCACCTGCTACAGATACGCGCGGCGACACCGTTCGGCTAGTGCGTGTGGAAGTTATCAACAAGAATGCAAGAAGGCGCACACACGTGGCAGGTGGTGTGAGAACGGCAGCATCTTGCGCTTTCCATGCAATTTCCTATATCATAATCATCACCAATGTGTGACTCCAATTGCAGTGTCGGGCGGCACGACGCGACGACATTCAATACTTGAATGTTAATCATGTTGAAGTAAATGTTAATTGGAAATGATGCATTGAGTTCTGGTAACCGCAATGAGTGCAATGTAAACTTGACTATGATGATGAGTAGACTCGTGGAATTTATTATAAGTACATCCGATTGGATTGTGTTCACGTGGTAAGATGAAGTTTGCTTCTTGTATCCAGGAAATAATCTATAAATGTACTTCATCTAATAAGAGTAAAACATTTTTTTGGTTTTGAAAGTTTTGGAAATCTTCACGGATGCTATAAATATCTGATTTTTCCTTTGGTTTATATTTAGGCGTCACACCTCAACATCTTTCACGTTTGTCTCTTCGTGATCATTAGATTCGTGATAGCAACTGCTCTTCCCATTTCAGAGGTCCCTAGTCCCTGTGATCTGTAGCAATAGATTCTATCTCTATTTTCATCTACCTAGTGCGTGAATGTGTAATTTTAGTTCCAGCGTTCCAGGACAGGACATTTTAGGGTAGCTCGATGCTCGCACACACCACCACAACCCATGTGCTCTCATGTGGGTCGGCGTACATCTGTAGCGGCTGCGAGGGCAGCAGGCCCATGCGGCGCTCGGCATTGGCTCTTCGCATAAGGGGGGCCCTCCTTGGTCGGGCAGCTGTTTGCGCGCGCGCCCCTCCACCCGCTGCCCGGGCGCGCACTCAAAAGCGACGCGCGCTTCCCATGCGAACTCAGTTCCGAACGGCGCTCTTAGGGTTGTGCATCGCAACCTTTCCGCGAGCATACAAAACCCATACACAACTTCGCGTCTATCTAGTCCAGCTCACAAACTGTTTTAAACACATCCAGAGCGCGTTCATTCATATGCATTAATCAAAAGTGTGCTTTACGTTTCTTTAATGGGGATTTCCGACGAGACCAAGTGCAATTGCGAAAAGGCGGCGAAACCGGCAAAGGGCACCATACTAGCGCCGCTAAAGGGCAAAATGAAGGTCTTCAAAAAGATCAAGCGAACTTTCCTCGGTAAGCATTTTAAATATAAACCACGCGAAATATCAATACACAAATTCGGAGAAACCAAGGTTACTATACATGGCAATAACTTATACGTTGGTAAAGTGTCTTATCAAACGTTTGTTTACTTACGAACGTTTTGTTTACCTGCCAGGTATTGATTGTCTGTCACATACAAGAAACACGCTACACTTAACAATCGAAACATTGAGCGTGCCATACAAATATCGAAAAGAAACCGTTTAATTTCTATATTTAATCGACGATAACAATAAATTTCTATATTTGTACGCATTTCGATATATCACAACGTGGGTGGGGGGCACTCAAGTACCGAAGAAGAGTTCTCGTGTGATTCGCGGCGCGCTCGCGGCTCGACGTTACCTAAATGTTAACATCTCCGTCACGACTTGGCGTTTCCCACGGTACGGTAGTTCTCAGGACTCGCGAGGCCCGTGAAGACTTTCTCGCGCCGCGGCCACTCACGAGCGTACCGTTCGATGATATATGCCCACTGTCCGAACCGAACGCACTTAGCGAATGCATTCGTACACATATTAGTGGTACGCACTCGGTCGGCGACGTAATCACTTAAATTTTCAATAATTGCTTTAATGAATAACGAGGAGCCACAATGCGCGCACTCCGGATAATAACCGCCGCGCCATGGGTACCACGTTGCACGACTTCGTATTTTACACAAACTTTTATTACCATGGGAATTCTCGCGAGGAGGAAATAGATTGAACGCGTTATAAATAAATATAGGAGGTTATTTTTAGATATTGGAATCATCCTATATCATATGTATTGCTAGCACAACTGTTATCCCAGTGGACATACAAAGCGGGTATGTCCTACTTGTAAAGTCCGTTGGCACCCTCCATTGAATATGTGTCCCCAGTGTTTGTATGCTCTTTACATACACTCACACTAGGCAGTTTTCTAGCTTGATAGAGTAACGGATTTCGTAGACCCTCATTGTACTTTCTTTTTCGTATTGCTTTGTTATTTCTTTCGACACACGGAGGGTTGGTTACCTACCAGATGTTCTATTCTTAACTTTTCGGTCCGAAACTACATCATATCTGTTACCACATTGCACTCAAGAAGAAATAAACATTCGGAAATTAATTAAACAGGCTAATTTTAAAAGATTGAAACTTCGATTGTGGCACAACGTTGTCGGGGTACAATGATCTTGCCTCGTATGTCGGGCGACTTTAATGTCTTCGTCACAGTGTTTTGCTCGCGTTATTCTACAATCGTGCTCATCAAGCAAAGACCAAGGTTGTTTCACTCTACTGGCTTCGTTCGTTCGCGAGAAGGAAGCGCATCCGGTCTCGCTCACGCTCGCGACGCAGTTGCGTCTCGAACTTTATTAGGTTTTTCCTCTTCTCGGCGTTTTTTTTTTCCTTTATACATTTTGTGCGTTCCTCGCGTCGTTTGCTGTTACAACTGTTATATTACATCTTCCTGCTTGTGCTAGAATTGAAAAAAAAATCAGTGTAGCCAAGCAAAAAATTCGTTTTAATTGCGAATGATTCATCGAGTGCACGAACGTGCTTTGTTCACGAATTCATCACACCCTCGTGGATTGCGTTTATGACGGCGCACTTGACTCGTTTTTCCTCTTCATGTTCCTATACATGACATGCGGTGATATGTGGCAAATTCGGTAATTCCCTGTCGTCCCCTTCGGCGCGAAGGAAGCTAATCCTTTGCTTTGCTTCGATAATAATACATCGGTGGAAACGCAACATGTGCGCCGGCGATGCGCTCCAATCCCTCGTCGTACGTCTCGTCTTTTTGGCGGAACGAAACGGATCGAAATTCGAGCACAATGCCGCCTTCTTCCTCCCCCTAATGTGTTGCGCGCGCGGCTTGTGCTCGAGCCGCTGCTCTTCCGTTTCCGTTTCGTCGCCATTCAAACCTACCCAGCGGATCGCCGACGGTGTAACGCAATATCTTAAAAAACTACGTCCGGTTTCGATCGCACTCGTACAGGATGCTGATCCACATCTACATATTACAACAATGACTTGATCGTGTGGCGAGGAAAGAAAAGTGGGTAAAGTCGTAAAATGTAAATCGAGTTTACCTGATCTTTGGTTGGTACGCTGTGCACCCCTCGGCGAGTCCCATCTTACCCTCATATCCCAGCCGGTTAAGAAGCAGCTGTTGTTATGTTATGAGGCGCACCTGGTTTTTGCGCACCATGTGCAGCTATTCGGTACTACCCGATATCTTGCATGGGAACATACGGAATTATATTTTCGCATCTCTGCAAAAAAACAGATGTTTCCGAACACATTGCTAATTGTTTCCTCTCGCGGTATTCTGGTATTAATAAGTTTTATTGTTGTTACAGCCTCTCGTTCCACATCCGAGGGCTTGGGAACGAATAATCTACCGCCGCTGCAATTCCACAATGTACGCGGTGATCATATCCGTCTCTACCGCAACGCCACAGTCGCCCGCAGGGTGGAGAGCTTCTGCAAGGGCATTGCATTTAGTGCGCGACCTGTCAAAGTCAATGAGAAGGTAATTAGTTACTTGTTTTCATGAATGAACAATGTTTAAGTTATTGTTTTTTGTTGTATTTTATAGATTTGCATTAAATTCGTTGAAATTTCCAACAACTGGAGCGGCGTAATTCGCTTTGGGTTCACCTACCATGATCCGAGCACTCTTCGGTACAACCTTCCGAAATACGCATGCCCGGACCTCACAAACAAACCCGGCTACTGGGCGAAGGCTCTACCCGAACGCTTCGCCACCCAGAACAACGTCCTGTATTACTACGTTACCTCCTCCGGTGATGTGCATTTTGGCATTAACGGCGAAGAGAAGGGTATTTTCTTCGGCGGAGTCGAGACGCGCGGCCAGCTCTGGGCGCTTATCGACGTCTACGGTAATTCCACCGCCATCGAGTTTGTCGAGTTTGAGCATCAGCTAAATAACTCCCGACGCGATGTCGTCACCAATAATTGTGATAACCACCGCAATAACAACGCTAATAACATCCCTGATGAGATTGACCGTCTTGTCTACCCGATGCAGAATGTTAACATTCGCACAACGGCGGAGCGCGACTCTGAAGAGCTCAACCTCCCCGTTATTCGCTACCAGCCGTCACACCTCAACTTCAACGCGTTCCCATTGCATCGCACGCGTGGTCGCAACGTGCGCTTCAATTCAAGCCGTACGATCGCGTCGCGTATTGACTCAGAATTCTGTCAAGGCTACGTCTTTACCGGACGCCCACTTAACATTGGCGAAAAGATGGTGGTGCAGATTTTGGCCACCGAAAACGTTTTTGAAGGTTGCCTTGGCTTAGGCTTGACGAGTTGCGACCCAGCAACCTTACAGATATCTGACCTACCGGACGACTCCAACTTCCTCTTGGATAGACCAGAGTATTGGGTCATTAGTAGGGATATCGCACGGACGTTAAACGTAGGAGATGAGATTAGTTTCTACGTCTCGCCTACAGGTGAGGTGCAAATCAGCAAAAATGGCGGTTTGCCTGTTGTGGTCATCCATGTCGACCAATCACTCCGATTGTGGGCATTCTTTGACGTGTTCGGATCGACGAGAAAAATCCGCGTCCTCAGTTGTCCGTTGGCAACTACCCCAAATCGCAGTCACGAACGTAGGATCGTCACACCGAACTCCGAATCAATGAACAGCCTCAACACTCAATCGGAGATGCGTCGCAATGTGATGCTGCCGTCCAACAGCAGATGTGCCCCTCAGGTGGATATTTCTGAAGCCCCTGGCACAAACTACATGCCTACAACTCACGTGAATATTGTCAATCATGCAAACAATAATCCGACACCACATCCGTCGCATCACTCATCGCAGAACCTTGCGAACTTCAACAGCGACGCCATGCCGTCGATGACATCGTTGCCTACTAGTCATTATCATAGCAATCACAACCTGGTACCCACCACATCGAACGCCACCATGATCTCCATGAATAGCAACACGTACATTGAGGTAGGTTTCAGTCAAACATGCATTTGATTAAAATAGATTTGTTGGAAAATAAACACGTGTCTAACAATTGTTTATTTATTTATAGCCAATTTCGGCCGAGTGTAACAAAGGTCCCGAACCACTGTACGGTCTACCAATGGGGAGCAATCAACTGTATTCGGCGGGGGCGGAGTGCACGATATGCTACGAGAAACCGATCGACGCCGTCCTCTACATGTGCGGTCACATGTGCATGTGCTACGAGTGCGCCCTACAACAATGGCGCGGTAAGGGCGGCGGCCAGTGCCCGCTCTGCCGTGCGGTCATCCGCGACGTCATACGAACGTACAAGTCGTAAGGGCCAACACAACAGCGCACCAACCATATTTACTAGTTAGTTACATTGTTGTCTGTTGATTCTCCCTGGGTGGAAGTTGTGTTTCTGTTCGATATCTTCCTGCACAAGTCAGTGCGTGTACAAATGCGCGGCATTATCGGCATTCTAGTTAAGTTTATTATTTTTCAACGCCTCCAAAGAGGATAAAAAGTGTAGGAATTCCAACAATGGGAAAACAAAAGACTGATTTTTGTTTTTTCGCAAATGTTTTCCACGTTTCGAATTTGTTAAATGTTCTTTTTTCGTTCTTTTCTTCTGTTAAGACCAAAGACGTTTCGCGTTCGTGCCAAGTGTTGGCAAAACGCGTGATCTTGTAGGGTGCGCACAAAGAAAAAAAAAAACGCGGCGCACACCAACTATTAGCTAAGTCATTGAATTTATAATTTCAACAACGTTTTGTTTATGGGGTCTGATGTCTGATGTGCGTGCGCGATATGCAGTATATCAATTTCTAAACGAGAACGAAACGAAATAGTTACATACAATAGGATTTTCTAGTCATTTAACGATGTATTAAATAGCATAAAGATAGCTAATATTTATTTATTCTTTAGACGTTAACTTATGAAAATGAAATGAAATCGAGGACAAAAATCGGTTGGAGTTCAATAACAAAAACGGCGATTTTTCTTCAAAAAATACATTTATATAAAAAAAATATATATGCGTAACACTATATCATTCCCTAATCTGAGTCCGACTCAATTCTACGAATTCTTTTCCTTTTTCCAACATCCTGCTTGGCTGTAATCTTATTCTTGCGTCTGTTTTTCAATTCCAACTCAGCTTTTTCTAGTTCATCTAAACTTTCAACTTCTAATTCGACCGAATCGTCATCGATGCAAAACGAATCTTTAGCGTAGGTCAAATCAACTGTTTCTTGGAATATTGTATCATCCACATGTCTGACAGCCGGCCTTATTAGAGGTTTTGCCCGCGTGAATGGACTTCGAACACTTTGTAAATACATTGCTTGTGTTTGGGTGGCAGGCGCAATCTTAGCATCATCGTCGTCAACAAAACTAGAGTCGTATCCATCTTGACTGCTAACGTGCTCGTCGGCACTGTGCATTTCATCGGACGAAACCTCCGCTTCCGAATCGATGAATTGACGCGCGCGCTTTGCGGTCATCTTGCTTTTAAGTGTTTTCACTCCTTTGACCATTTCTATACTTGATAGTGATGTACTACTGCCAGCACTAGCCAATTGTGGTAGGTCTTCATTTGATTTTTCAGAGTTTAGTTTATTCGATGGAGTGAACAAAGTTGGACTTTTCAAAACACTTAAATTTATCTTCGGACTTGCTTTCTTTAACAGCGACGTGTCCAAGATATCAAAGCATGACAATTGTTTCTTCGACTTGTTCAACTTTGGTAGTACAGGTGGGTCCGCCGGCGGAATAAACGAACTTAAGTTGGGTGATGAGGAACCTTCATTTTCTGATAATTGACTAGTTGGTAATACATTGAATAAATCATTTGCCGTGATTTTTTTCTTTTTTGCCGTTTTCGCAGATTCATTTTGTTCATTCATGATTGTAGGTGTTTTTTGCTTGAGTATACTCATATCTAGCAAATCAATGGCAATAAATTTTTTTCTCCTTGTTTCAGAAATTGCAGGTTTCGGTATCACATCAAAATCAAACAAATCATTTGCTTGCACTTTAATTTTCGGAGATGATTTGCTATTATTTGGTTTAATATCTAATAAATTCTGTGGGATAATTTTTGTTGGCGGTTTTACTATGGAGGATGCATCAAAAATATCAGTACAATCAAATTTTATGCGTTTCTTGGCTCGCATTGAACCAATCGATTGTGTCTGCGACGCTTTGCGTTTGTTTATCAGCGGCGAGGGCGACGCTTCAATAATATCTTCATCTACAACATGAATTTGCGCAGTCGATGCACTTACCCCATTACTTATTTTTGGTGGACTGAACACTGGTAATTCTTCATCGAACAAATCCGGTGATTCATGCGAGGCATTTACAATTTTATTATCATGAGATTCTTCTAGTTCATGTATTTTTATAGGACTTTCTTCCGGCAAATTCGTAATAGTAACAGGCTCGTTGTATATATTTTCTTGACTTTGACATTCTTTTTCTTTATTCTTGTTTAATTTCTCACTAATTTGGTACTGCAAATTACAAATGCTTGTTGCATCAAAATTGAGATCAATTTTTAAGTTGAGATAACCAATTGGTACCAAATCTCTCTTGATGTTTAAATCACTCTCAAATTTACCACATAAACCGCAATCTTCCCGATTCGCCAAAATACTGGTAATTTTGGCTTCTAAAAGCGTTTCTATGCCAAGTTCCTTCTCATCTGGTACGGCTGCCGATATTTGCGAACATTGTTTGAACATGTTTCGTATATCCGTTTGTTTTTTCGCAGCAATCCGAGTAGATTTCTTCGAAGGTTGTGGAGTGTCTAGCTTTTTCGATTTGATGTTGAAGCGAGAATAATCAATATGTCTCATTATATCAATAAATATATCAGTTTTAGAAGAACTTGGCACATTCACAGAGCATGTAGTGCGTTGTAAATTTAAATGTTTGTTAAAAACTAAACAATCGTTATCAACCTCCGACTCATCATCATTTAAAATGAAAAACTTTGTTTTAGGGATAAAATTGCTGATATTTCTTAATTCAGACTTAGTTGTTTTCATAATTGAATCATGCATTCTGGTTTCCAACATTGTAGAACTAGCAGCAGTGGATGTGAAATAATTGGTTAGTTTCATAACTTTCTTGGGTGCAATAAACAACTCCTGACATTCCGGCGACAACCCATCAGGAATCATTTTGGGATTATCTTTATACAACTTATCATCAATATTCTGCGAATGTATCAATGCGTTAGAAAGATGCTGCTTTTCCTGTAAACAGTCTTTGAGAACTTGCTGTTCTCTTCCCTCAGACACCAAGATGACAACGCGTCCATTGCGATCGCGACCAGTACGCCCAATGCGTTGTATAAAACGCACCGAAGACTTGTTGGAAATATCGAAGCATATAACTATGTCCACAAAACCAACATTAATACCCTCCTCACCGATGCAGGTGGAAATGAGAGTGTTGAAATTTCCGCTGCGAAATGAATCGATTATGTTCACCTGCTGTTTCTGTGTGATGCTGCTCTGACCCATGAACATCTTAGGTTTGACTGATGGCTGATCAAGAAGTGCAGCATACGCTTCCGCCACAGAGTCTTTATATTCGCAGAAAATTATTACTTTACTTTTAACGTCGTGCGTGGCAAAATGCTGGCTGAGTATTTCACGTAATTTGTAGAACTTTGGATGACCAAATTTGCAATTCTCTGGAAGCTACGATAAAATTCACTCAAACTGTTTCATTTTATACAGTCGCAAGACTATAGATTATACACGAACTCAAACAGCGCTTCTACATGCTTTGATCTTAATAAAACTTACTTTTAAATGAGATCCATCTGGTAACTTGTCGCAAATTAAAGGTGGACCAACATAGTTCGTTATATCATCCACAAGTTGTTGAATTTCGGAAGAACAGCTCGTAAGCAATGGTTTGTTGATACTTTCTGAGATCCAAAAATCATATTAACGATAAAAATGATGATTTCATTAAAATTTACCTTCAAAAAATCGTACAAAACTTCTTAATCCATGCCTTAGAAGTAAATCATAAGCGTGATACAAGATTGTGCAAGTAGCAAACACTTTTGTGATTAGTTTATATTTTTCAGTGGATCTATTATGTGTATTTTTTTCCTGATACTCTTTGGATAAGTAAAATAATCTGCCTTTGTGCAAGGAACTGAAATTAGAATGTATCACTTTATTCTCCACCAAAATTCTCACATATTTGTCTAGAATTTTTTTGTAGTCATTGATTACTTCAGATAATTTCCCATCCAATTTGAGCACAATTGTTTGTATTGATTTTTGATGTGAATAAGGTTGCACATCTGCAGAATTCTCTGTACGGACTTCTAAATGTGAGATCAGTAATTGCTGGCAGATACTAATTACATCTACCACATTTGAGGCAGGTGTTGCTGTTAAAGCCAATACTCTGAATTCTTTGTTTAACTCCTGCAGCTTGTTGATTACTTCACAATATGCATGATTACCTCTTGCTCTATGTGCTTCATCAATCACAATGCACTTTATTTTAGATCCTAGTCCATCAATTGTATCTAAATCATTCCTGAGCACTTGGGGTGTCAAGAAAAAGACTCTTTTGTCTTTCCATATTGATGTTCTGTTTTGTTTCAATACACTTCCTATAATCAGTTATTACTTTAAGCATAATAAACTAATTTAAATTAATACCTGTTAATTCAGCAGTAGATTCCTTCGGAATAGCAACAATGCCATAACAGGCATCAACTTGTTGTTTGACTAGAGGTTTAGTTGTTGCCATAAATATGATCTTGCCAGATGGATACCATCGATAAAAATTGTACATCACTACTGCCGCAATAAATGTTTTGCCCAAGCCAGTGGGAAGGCAGACCATTGTGTTTTTGAAGAGGGCTTCTCCAACAATATCCTTCTGGTACTTTCTGATAGGCAAATTTGTTGGATAGATCCATGTTTTACCAAATTCCAAATTAAAGCCTGTAGCATCATGTTGTGTGGCTTGCATTCCCTTTTTATAAACACAAAATATGCAGTAATAATAAAATAAACAGTATTATATTGGTTTGTCGAATGTTACGAACTTCACAACAAACTCATACCCGTTTTTGTGGTTATTAATCAAACGTTATTTTGAGTTTTAAGATAGATTACCCAACTTACACAGTGGATTTGCTAAAATATCAGACTCGTCGCCTATTTAAAAAAAAAATGTTTGCAGTCAATCCATAACGTATTATGCAACAAGTAACAATTAAACTTTGTACTGTTTATTGCAGATTATTTAAGAATACGTGGTTCTATCTTTTTTTATTTCAAATTTCTAACATTTTAGTTCCAATTTTAAAATGCATATTTTAGTTGAAGCAATTACTATTTAAATTATTAGTCGAAAAGTAAAATGTTACTAAAATAAATCTTTAAATTCAACGTGTATTTGCGGCAACATTTAATTATCAATTGTCTAAAAATCTAATGAAGATAAAGAAAAATTGTATACCTACACTAGATTTTATTTTAAAAATTTTATTTTTCAAGAATTGAAATATGGCAGATTTACTTTTTATTTTCTAAAGTTGACCAAAAACTAAATAGATTCAGTCAAAAGATACCTCTTGACTATTTTATTATTGAAACTCGTTATTTTGTGCAAAAAATTTTATTTTTAGATAAAGTATGTAGAATCACATGATTGATTCAGGGCACCGTATGAATATAGCGGTGGATTTGACCTGATAGAGGTAGTTTCCGACGGAAATAATATGAATTAATGAATATTTAGATGATTTTAATTAACTAAAATGATATAGGTATTTAATTTCAAGAGTAAATTACTAAAGAAGTAAAATTTGAATGTTTTTATGCTTTTTTGTAGTTTTTGAAGAATTTTGATGCCATTTTAAGGAAAATATGTGATTTTATGACAAATATATACTTTCATTACTATTTTGCAGTGTATTATGTTTATTTCTTGCTAAATTGATGAATATTTGCATTAAAATTGCAAAATTTACTTTATTTATTTTGAATTAATACATTTTAGCGACATCTACATTTGAAGCTTTAAGTTATGTGTTAAAATTGCTATTTGTTTAGATAGGATAGTGCATGCACAGTTGCGTGTATGTGGGGCACACGCACACAGCCATTTAAGTGCGCGATCACTCACTGATTCATAGGCAATCGCTCAGGTTGTGGGCAGTTATGACTGTGGGCAGTTGTCGTGTGAGCGATCGTCTTAGGAGCAAAAGTCCGATCATGAATCGCTCACTGCCTCGTATGCACGCCACACTTTTTGATACACTTTGTATTTTCATGAGGTACTCATGTTTTCGCTAAAAATATTCCTGCGAGTGAAAGTCGGCATGCCCAGTTGTTGGGTAGCCGGCACGCAACTCTTACCTCGTGCGATAAGTACTAATAGGGTAAAACACCCAATCGTTGGCACACCTCCAATTATTGGCACTTTATATTTTAACTAGCGACCCGCCCCGGCTTCGCACGGTTGCAATACTGATACTAAATACACTACAGAAAAACTGTGAACGTTGTGGTATAAAATATATAGCCCATGTAATTAAAATCGATCCAGTAGTATTGATTTATTCATTACTGTCCGTGGCCCGCACGCGTTAAATTTGGAGTAAAACAATCCCCCTTTCCCTATACCATGAAGATTTCCTGCTGTCTTTGGAATATCTAAATTCATACACTACATTTTTACTTTTTACATTTTATAGTATGTGCCGCAGTAAAAAATATCTAAATTCTTACCATTTAGAAACAAAAGATAATCAACAATCATAAAAAACAAAAGATACCTATTCTTTTCAGTTTTTTTTTACTGAAATACCTCTAATTTATATTTTAAAACTACTATCATACAATTATTTATCGTAACTTAGTTATAATTACTGATACGTTGTCGCGCTGAAAAGCACGTTTTTATTAGGGTAAAAGAGGGTAATGGGGGTCACTTAAGGGAAAACTCAAATATAATTTAAATTATAAACAAAATACTTATTGCAATCGCTTATAAGCATTGTTTACTTAAATACCTATTATTTGAAATAATTTTCGGTCACTTTGACAATCAAATTTGGATATTATTAAAGTTTGAAAAAAAAACAGATTTGACTCTCATTACACCGACATGCGGATAATGGTGGTCACCCTGGGAACAATCGGAATCAAACGAAATCTAGCAGATATCGCAGACATAATATTCCGCAAAGTCCCACCCAGTGCATTTCACATGAGCCCATAGCCCACATGAAGTGCATCTGAACCACATTTAATTGTTTTTTTTTAAATCGTTGCACATTAGACATCAGTTTTCCAAATCTTCATCCTCATCGCCCTGGCATAAGTCATCAGTGCCAATATTGGAATCATAAGTTTTGTTACTTTCCCGCAGTATCGTTTCTGCAAGAAGGCTATTGAAAAATAAGTCACATTGCTTTTTATAGGCCATTTAAAGCGGACTAAAGACAAAAACGTCCATTGGGAGTCGCATGACTCCCATTGCCCACAATTGCACTATTGTGAAAAAAAAAAACAAAAAAAATATTTCTTCACAACATTAATGTAATCTGAACTGCACATCACGATTTTGAATGTTTAACTAAGACTATATAAAAGTTTCATTCGAATATTGCAAGATATTCGACACTTATCTTCTAATTTGCGTGGACGTAAAATTAGATCAGCGGAGCTCAAAAATAAAATATTGGCGTATCTCAATGATACACGCACCGATTTGCATGATTTTTCGGGGGTGGCACTGGGGGGCCAGAACGGAGGTAGGAACGCCGTTTACGCGGTACTCGTAACTATTGTTTCGTGGATATATGGGTGACTCCCATTACCCGCTGACTCCCATTACCCTACTCTCCCCTACCTAAGTATTACTATTTTCCTCGCTGGAGAGCTCCGATATAATAAACGTGCCCGATCGCTGCGAAATTCAAAGTGCTATGAGAAAACCGCGGCCGGCCGGTACCGCCAAAAACGCTACGGCCGCAATTTTTAAAAAATCCGTTGCGTAGTTTCAAAGATTTACGCATACAAAGAGACAGACAGAGAAGGCGACTTTCCTTCTCCAAACAAAAACATCAACCGATCAACTTCAACCCACACGTACACCCATGCACACGTCTGTGCTTAGGGGGGGGAAGCTACGAAGCATCGCACAAAGCGTAGACGGCGATAATAGAAAGCTTTGTATTTACGACATCACATTAGAAACCTCAAAAATAACAGTACTTCTCCACTATTTAATGGATGTTATTATACATACAAACCTTCCTCTTGAATTACTCTATCTATTAAAAAAAACCGCATCAAAATCCGTTGCGTAGTTTCAAATATTTAAGCGCACAAAGGGACCGGAAATAAAAGCGACTTTACTTTATACTATGTAGTGATTCGAAAAAACAAGGAAACCATAGATGTTAGAATTACGAAATGTTGTTTCGGTTTTACTAGTTTCATTCAATAATACAGAGCGATCGGATCTTAATTGTGAACAGTTTACAACGAATGCCGGAGCACCGGAGTCTGAGTTATTTCTTAGGAGACGCATGCCCAGCGAGCAAGTCGCTGACATAAACAGAAAAACCCCCCATCAGTGATGTGACTCCATATCCACAGGGTGTTCTGCATGTTGCTGGTGCATGGTCATATACGCAACCTTACATAGATTATTCAAGTTTTATATGCATTAAATTGAACAATAGTATATTTTTTCTGTTCAAAGTTGACTACACTGTTCCAATAACTAATATGGCGATTTAGATACAACAGCGGATATTTTGTGTTTGAGAATTTTGGTGCAGTTATTTTGTTTTTTCTTCTTGAGGTGAGACCTTTTTTAATCATTGTATATCGCAGCTATTCGTCTAATAGATACTTTTGTATTAATTTGATATGCTTAATTACACGTTTAGGCAATAGATTCAAAGATTATTTCTTGAATATATCTTTTATCACATTGATTTATTACATGTGCCAACATATGGATCAAGAATTTATCAAAATCCTATTCTTGGAACCCTTGCCAATAACTAAAAGCTAATTATTGGCAGTAGTGCCCATATTAGAATATGGGGATATATTAAATGCACTTTAGTTAAAATACAATCCACTTGAACAGCCACACTTAAGTTTTCATACTTTGCACTAAGAAATTCATATTATGCACTATAGATTGTATAACTTATATTTTAATACAATGCACTTATATATTCAGGTTTAAGCTTAAATTTGCTTTGAATCAACTTTTTAAATTGAAACTTTATAATTTGTGGTGTTGGGGTGGTCGGGGGGTTGGGGGTGGTGGTTAGGTAGGCTACCTTGTTTGGTATTATTTGTGGGGCGGTCGGGGGTAGTGGTGAGGGGTGGTCGGGGAGTTGGGGGTGGTGGTAAGGTAAGCTACCTTGTTTGGTATTATTTGTGGGGCGGTCGGGGGTAGTGGTGAGGGGGTGGTCGGGGAGTTGGGGGGTGGTGGTAAGGTAAGCTACCTTGTTTGGTATTATTTGTGGGGCGGTCGGGGGGGATAGAAGGGGCCGGCTAAGAGTACGGCACGTACTTAATACTGCAAGTTTTATAAGTGCAAAGTATTAATTTCATAGTGGAAAGCATTTTATTCAAGTGGAATTCATTTTTCAAAGTGCAAATATTTATTTTTAAGTTCAGTTCTGTATTTTTAAGTGCAAACATTAATTATAAGTGCATTTAATGTATTTACAAGATGAAAATCGAAAAAATAAAGTTCGTTAAATTACATGCCTTAGAATATTGAGTGCTAATATTGTTTTTTTTTATTCATTTAGATCATGATCATGATAGTCATATTAGAACTAACAAAAAGTAAACAATAACGGAAATTAACTTAATGTTACTTTTTGGTTCTAGAACACTGCGAACTAGGTATATAAAATAGGGATGTTGAGTATTTGTTTTTGGCATGTAATTAAACGAACTTTATTTTTTCGATTTTTAACTTGTCAATTCATTAAATGCACTTATAAATAATGTTTGCACTTAAAAATACAGAACTGAACTTAAAAATAAATATTTGCACTTTGAAAAATGAATTCCACTTGAATAAAATGCTTTCCACTATGAAATTAATACTTTGCACTTATAAAACTTGCAGTATTAAGTACGTGCCGTACTCTTAGCCGGCCCCTTCTATCCCCCCCACCCCTCAAATAATACCAAACAAGGTAGCCTACCTAACTACCACCCCCAACCCCCAACCGCCAACCACCTCCTCCCCCCAACCCCCAACCACCCCACAAATAATACCAAACAAGGGAGCCTACCTAACCACCACCCCCGAC